AGGTGACCTTTAACCGTGACCTACATCACCGGATGTTGTTAGCGGTAAGCAGAATTGCAGCTTGCGATCAGAGTTGTTGCGATATGTGTGTTTTTGGTTTTGTTTCCATTCTCATTCAAAGCTGGTTTCATTTCGCAATTCACCAATGGCACTGGCAAAGAATGACAATCTGGAGAAACTGGAGAAGCATTTTTAAACCGTACACGTGAGCTACGATAGTTAAGACGCTGCTGCAAAAGTGCGTCCCGTGCTTCCGCGTCAGGTCCCCACGAAGGTTGGCAGTCATTCCCTTTCCACAAACTCTCGTATCCGCTTGATTTTTCTGTTTCTGTTTTCCACTCGCTGACTCGTTCACCTCAATTAGCACTTGGCTGACTCGCTTTGAAGGGGATTCGACTTGTAGCCAGTCTACGTGATTTATTCGTTACTTCTGCAGTTGCATTTGTAATCCAACTGATATTTTGGTGAATTACGGCACAGCACCTGCGTTCTACGTTTTTAATTCATGTTAAGCAGTTGAAAACATTGCATCACTTTTTCCAGACCGACGATTGCCGTCCTCCTTCGTGAACAGTTTTTTTAACAGAACGCCCGCCGTCTACTTTTCAACCAGTTTCCACCCTTGACATCATTCGTTACCAGCTCCAACTTGGTTTCTGAACACCGCACGGTCACGTATGAGATGAGATGAGAGAGGCTGCGCCCGCAATGCTGAAAGTATCTGAGTATTAGCATCGGAGTAACTCAGGGCGGACTCGAGAATGTGATCATTGAGCAACATTGACTTTGATTGGAACACAGTTGTGCGCCATGAAACAAGTGTACAAGGCAATGGTCATTACGCCCAACCGTGTGAGATTTCAAGGGGAACACATATTCGCTCGGAAACTTGAACGCCTCAAGGCTGGACTTGGAAAAGAGCCTTTTCCATGATGGGATGTGACAAAGCAGAACCTTAACTCCCACCGTTGTGAAATTTGTATTATTAAAAAAAAAAAAAAACCTTCAGATGTACAGTAGTAGAAAAGGAAAAGGGTTTTGACCACAGCTGCTTGAAAGGTTGGTTGCTGAATGTTTTTCATTCAATCCCAAAAGTGAGTCGCGCATGTTTGTATCTGCATTTCCATGGTTACTTTTGAAAAGTTAACCGTGAATCGTTGTCATTGTGTGTCACACAAGCTCCGCTTCGGGGCAGAATGGCTACAAAGAATGTCGCTCTACTAATTGAAGGACTTTGTGTAGAATCTGCATGTAATTATGCAGTGTCAAGTTTTGATGCGTCCCTGTCATTTTTACATGAACCTCACCATTGTGTGCACTGTATGGCTGCTTAATAGAAGCAAATGTTTTCGTAAAATAGATTTCTGGCATGAAAGTAGTCTAACACTGTCAATGAAATGCATGTAAAAAGACTGCTTCATCCTTCCATTCTCAAAGGAAAATCTTCGAACACCCTTGACGGAAGTGTGACGGTTACGTAAGAGCGGGGCGGAAGTGCCGGACGGCTTGCTCACAAACAGAAATGGGCAGATGACAAAAGACTCCTAATAATGTGGTCTGGTTGTGCATATCTGTTGCTGGTTTCACGCACCTCATGCTTTCATGAAAAAGACCGAACGAGGAGTGGGGGGCAAATCAACAATATTGGTTTCCCAAAATTCTGTCCATTCCAACGCTGACAATTTAGCGGATCGTCTTGGAGAATAACTTAACGATGGGGAAACAAAGAAAATGATATGGGCCAAGCGGATCAGCCGGCCTCCGGTGTCTGTTTCCGAAACTGCCAGAATATGAAACAGTTGAGTGTAGATGGAGCATTTGAATCGGCCCCCGCGACCGTTTCAACGCGCTGTCAGGATCTCTCAACAATGGGGAGCGTTGTCAAGTGAGCACACTGCGGATGGGTCTCTGCCAGTGACACTCTGCGGCAAATATGAGATAATATTTTCCTGTGACATTTTTTTCTGAAGGTTGTCTTTCATTCCACACAATAAATGTCTGTCACCAAGCAGATTGCTGGGCTTTCTTCATCGCCACGAGCCAAGGTCAAAACGCTCCCCGGCTCGACTCTTTGTGCTCTTCAGGGGGGTGAGATTTGGGTGACGGCAAGGATGCCGGGCGATTTGCGAAGCGGCATGTGGTCAACGTCCGAGACAGGCCGTGTCACGGAAACGAGCCCTCTGCAGATGGTCACCTCTGATCTCCAAAGTCCAAACAGCGCATTCCTTTATCCGCAGTATGCTGTGTAGGCCCAACTCAGAGCCTGATGCTGACAAAGCAAAGGAGGACCGGTACGTGTCCCAAACAAGATGTTCATCTCAACCGAGACTGTTGTCTTTGTGGCCCGTCGCTCAGGCTGCCGGGAAGCGATGAAAACCTGAAATGTATCCCGAAATGAGTCTTTGAGCTGCTCCCTTCTAACGCCAGCTTTTGCTTTCAGGATTTGTTTGGAGTATGGGTTCCAAAGGCACCCGCCGTCATAATGGATTAAAATTCTTTGATCGGTCTGAATTCTGTCGATGTTGTCAAATTGATTGTTGATGAATCACGCCGGGTCTCATTGAGCGTTTGAGGCAAAATGGCGTCCCGTGCTCACTTTGTCAGTGTCAGTTTTCATAATTTGTCTGGCACATTTATTGTGGCGGGCAGAAAGTCACTGTGCCTCCGGATGATGCAAGCAAGATGGTGATATATTTAAATCAACAGAGTTAATGAAAAGCCGGTGAGAAGAGATAATGCGTGTTTCTAGAAAGATGTTGCAGATGTTCCAGAGGCAGAGTTCCACCAAGTTAACCAGAAAGCCATCCGTGGATGATTCCAAACTTACGCTGATTGTTTTGTGGTGTGATGGACAGGTCACTGTGAGCTTGTAGCCAGCGAGTGTTTGAAGGACTTTCTAAAAGTGGTTTAAGTCATTCAGTAAAACCAAAAATGGTTGTAGACATGCCTGGTGCCAGTTTTAGTTGTTTCTATTTAATGCGTACCCCGACTCCTTTCTCCACGCGATGAGATGATTTCTTCTAAATCTGGACGGTCTGTCCGGACTGGGCTTTCCAAAAAGAGCTGTTCCTCCTTTCCTGACTGAACATGGCCTAGAAATATGAAATGAAAACACATCGTAGGGGGAGTGAGAAAGTGAGAGGAAGCTGGGGGAAGTGCATGAGAAAAAGTTTCAACACTAGCGTCATTGATTAGTGGCTACAGTGTGTGTGTGTGTGTGTGTGTGTGTGTGTGTGTAGTGTAGAAGTGACAGAGAGAAAGAGAGAGAGTGTGAGGTGTCCCATTACCTGAGAACAGAACCTCTCTGTTTGACCTTTGCACCCGTCCTCCCATGTTTCTGCATTGTTTGACGTATTTTTGACTCTTTTCAGTGACAGCAGCTGTCACGTCTGCCTCACAGGTCAGACGTTTGTGGTTCGAATCTCGGCTTTGGCCTTCCTGTGTAGGCTTTGCGGTCTTCCTCCCACAATACTTACAACATACGTGTTACATGCTAGGTTCACCGAAGCCTTTGGATTGTCCATTGGTGGGAATGTGGGTTGCCATTCTATATGCGCCTTGCTCTTTACTGGCGACCCGTTCAGGACGTTGTGCGCCTCTCTCCCACATTCATGCACGATAGGCTCCAGCTCACCAATGACCCATATGCAGACAAGCAGTTGAAAAAAAAAAGGATGCCTAGACGGATGCTCTCCTGGTCGACACTATTCAGGAAGTTAGTTGAGCTGTGTTATTATTTACGTTTTTTTTATAACAGTGCCATAAAACGCCTCCTACTGTCATAGAGTCGACAGTAACGTCAGAAATTATTTACCTTTGAACAAAACTGTAGGTATGTATCCCTCTCTTCAAACAGCATATTTAAGGCAAATTTAAAAAAAAAAAAGATCTATGACAAATCGAAGCAACGATATAACCCAAAATGGACTACAATACTCTATACGTATGTATACACAGGTTGGTCCTGTATTTAGTATGTCATAGTCTAATACTGTATCACGTCATTGAGCTTTTGCTTGCACTGTTTTCGGTGAACGCGAGAGGCTGACAAAATGTCCGTTTTGTTCTGGTTGCGTTCTCGTGTGCAACACGATCCAGCAGAGGTCGCCATCAACCTTTTGGAAAGTGTCAAAACCTACTTCTAAATTGCCATTTTGATACACACTTCTGACATTTTGAAAATTACATTACGTTTAGCAAGATTATTACTGTACATTTAAGTCATAATGAATGATACTCATTTAGGGCAACACAGTGCTTGACTGGATAGCGCAGGCGGTGCGGAGGTGCTGGGTTTGATTCCATCTGCGGCCTTCCTGCGTTGCATGTTTTCCGCGTGCCCTTGTGGGGTTTCTCTGGGGACTCCGCTTTCCTCCCACATTCCAAAAACATGCGTGGCAGGTTAACGAAACACTCGAAATTGTTCCGAGGTGTGAGGGTGAGAGCGAATGATTTGTTGGTCTATGTGTGCCCTGTGATTGGCTAGCAGCCAGTTCAGCCCCCCCCCCTCCCCCGCCTCGTACCCGAACACGGCTGGCATAGATTCCAGCACGCTTGCCACCTTCATGAGGATAATCGTATTAGAAAATGCATAGCTGGATTATTGTTGTTGTACTGTAATGTACAGTTTTTCTTCTGTTTAGTGTGAGTGTTTTTAATCGTGAAATATGGTCGTTACAAAGTGTACATTTAGTAGGTAGACACAGTCACAAAAGAAAATCTGCATCACTTCATTCAAGCTCTAGCTAGCTAGCTAGCTAGCTAACCTACTCAAATCTTCTGATTGGCTGTGACATGATGTTACATGACGTGCCCCGGCAGGCAGCAATGCCAGTGTCGCTCACGAAAAGCAGTTGCCTGACGGGACACATTACGTGACATTGGGTCACCTTCGGCTTGATGGTGCGGCAGGCTTAAATTGCCCGTGTCTAATATTTTGAAGAGTTTTTGAACAGCACAAGGCAGACTCGGTTCCCACTGTACTTACTCTTTTAATATGACTGTGTAATTCATGTTTGGTGGAGTGAGAGCGGTAGCTCAAGTTGGAAAGAGCGAAAGGAAGTAGTGATGAGCGCACTCTCTAATCTGCCCGTCCATCCGAGTGAAGGGGCAAGGGAGTGAGAATCAGGTCTGCCGCGTTGTGGAGGGCCAGAGTAGGGGGAGTCACTAATTACAGCAAGAGGCGGAGGGGGAGAGGCAAACGAGAGCGAGGGTAAAGAGCATGAGAGGGGATGGAGCAAGGACAGTGAGAAGGTACAAGACCGTTCACTCTTTCTCGATTCTGCACCTGTGAGCCCCAGCGCGTGCGGCTTGTCGAGTTGCTGGGTGATCGCTACGCTTGACAGGATCGCATCGGTCCGTGACACCAGCAGAGGACCATGGGAACTCTTTGCACCTCTCTCGCTCTTTGCCTGCTCTTGTCCACACCCGTACCAGCTCAATGGTGGAATTTCATCTGGGCAAGCCCCAAGAGCAGCCCTCGCCCCTCTCCTCCATCTGTAACTTCACCGAGCCCTTTGGACATGCGAGGGACAACGGCGTGGGTGAGACCTGAGGACAAGACAACAGGGAGCGCTTTCACTCCTGTGATCCACACCAAGATGTCATATCTTGGCCCGGCAGGGTCTCTCCGGGGGACGCCACCTCCGGGGGTGATGATCACGAACTCCAGATCCCATTTCAAACCATTGAAACGCTGGAAGAGCGGTGAGTGTTAAAACCGGAGAGTAGAAGACAGCTTTTCGATGCTTTTTGTAACTTTGTTGCCTTATGGGAAGTCCTTTATGTGGCATTCAGCATGCTGTCCATTTTGAACCAGGATCATTAATCTCCAGATTTTTTTTGGGGGGGGGGGGGTGGTATTGCTATTCCCCTTGCCCCCTGCAACCTTTGAATGAATTGTATCATGGGGTAATATTATGTTCCAGACACAGCACACACTAATTTATACATCAGAATTTTTCAGAATTTCCCAAGCTTTATTTCTCAGGGTATCGACTCAATCTGGACTGTTTTGTTTGGCCTTGATGATGTTCCACCTTTCATCCCAACAGACGTCGTCAATTCACGCACAAGGCCAGTTAGGCCAGCGCGAGCCATGTGCGAGTGCCAGCGTCGTGGCTTGTGCTGTCCTAACTGGCCTTGTGCGTGAACTGATGAAGCCAGTTAGGACGAGAGGCGGAACGTCTTCGAAGACCGCCGCAACAGTCCAGTTGTGACGGATTCCATGCCCTGTGAAGGAAATGATTCTTCAAGCACACCTATGACTTTCTCGAAGCTCTCGCTTTTGCTCTGGTAGCATGCTGGTATGTGACATCGAGGTCCCCTCATTTGCGTTGCACTAAATCTTTGAGAGCCTGAGAAATCTAGGGGGAGTGGGCCAAACAGCGGGAAGCTTTTGTGTGGCCTGACAGGGTCGAGGTGGGTTTAAAAGGTTACGCGCGGCAACACGGAGGGGCTGGGGCTGGATTTTTTTAAGTCTCGCCAAGCTGCTCAAGCATTCATGCGGCCAACATGATGGGGATTACGTGGAGATTTGAAGGAGAAATTGTGGTGCAAAATTAGCTCCATGGTGGACAGATTGATGAAAAGATTCTGATGGAGCTGACATCGGTTGACGGAGTACGAGTCCTAATTAGTCTCCCGAAAGATCAAAATGTTGCACTGGTACATTTAAAGGACAGGCTAAGTACTTAGCTTTGGTCACAAATTAACTGAATTGGTCAATGGACATGCACAGGTCTCGGTGAAGGCATTGTGATGCAATTTATGATGACTGACACGCATTCAAAAGTTAGTTTTAGGCTTTTCAATTCACATTGTTCATGTCCCGCTGCGGATAAATGGACACTCGTGGTTTGAAAGTTGCCACTTTGCTTCCTGGCTGCTGGCAAAAGGCGTTTATCATGAATATAATAAATCACAAATGTAAAGCGCATCAGGCATATTTCATTGGAACAGTTGTGTGTGTGATCGAGACAGACGCTCGTGGACCCAAATGCCCTCAATCAGGCGCAAGTGCAGGTGGGAAAGATTGAAATGAGCACTGCTCACCCAAGCCCCTCTCATGCTGGGCCAATGTCGAGAATGAATTTCATGACCATCCCGACCGGGGAGGCGACGACTCGCCCCCAGTGTCGAGAAAAATGCAGGATCCTCTGAAGATTGGACACAATTTTGTCCATGTTTTTAAGTTTTGGTACTTCTTATAGTATGCTTAAAATACAGTATATTTATGGTTTTATTCAGAAATCAGAGCACTCATGAGTGCATTGATTGATGACATTCAGTGAGCGAAATTTGCTTTGTGTTTACATGGTTTTTTTTATTGACTGCACACTATCCCTTTTGTGTTTGCAACGTTACATTTACAAATGCAAAGCTTGTAAACTAGAGTATAGTGCACCGTGGTCTGTGTTAGTAGAGCGACACATCGGCTGTCATTCTCTCTTCTTCCAACACATACCGACACACACATTCACACTCAAGCCTCTAATCGGGTATGTTTCCAGTTGGTCAGGCTGATAAATTAGAGAGCCCCAAATCTTTGGAGTGTCCGGTGTAATCTCTAGTTTTTGTTCATTTGGGTGAGAGAAAAAAAAAGTGTGTGTGTGTGTGGCACCCCCATCTCGCACAATGACTTGAAGACTAAGACGAGTTTCGGGGTTAACATTGGCCTCATTGCAATTGTTCATTTGTGATTGTTAAGGGTAGGGGGGGAGGATTAGGAAATGTTTTATGTCAATAATAAGTCCTCACTTGGGTAACAAAAGAATGTGTGCGCATGACTGCAGGTATAAATCGTGTATACAGTTTGACTGGCCTTTCATGATATGAACGTGTGGACCTTTCAGAGGTGAGTCGGCTGGGCGGGAGGGCGGTGCCGTAGCGCCCTCTATTGACGAGCCGCCGCTCAGTCAAATTGAACGCTTTGAGTCAGCCATGGACTCATACGGTCGCTTCAGCACGAATACGTAAACACCTCGACACTTTTTTTTTTTTAAACTCCACCCGTCAAGTGTAACATTTTCTGTCTCATCAGAGCAAAGCTCCGGAAGTCACCTGGACTTGACCGAGTTAATTGGCGTGCCCCTTCCGCCTTCTGTCTCCTTCACTCCCGGTTTTGAGGGCTTTCCGGCGTACAACTTTGGGCCCGAAGCTAACATAGGCAGGCTCACCAAGACCTTCGTGCCAGGCTCATTCTTCATCGACTTTGCCATCATTGTCACGGTAACAAAGAGTTTGAACAGAATCGTATGGATTTGAAACGCTCCCTAACAAAACCGAATGCCATTTTTCACGTTGAAAAAAAAATTACGCCCTCTTGTGGTATTGTATGTTCTCCCTCTTGAATTTTCTTTGCATCTTTACTGTCTTCCATTTTAGTTTAGTTTTGTTAATTTTCTTCCGTTTTGTATTCTCTGCTTAGCTCTACTTTGTCCAAAAGTGTGATAAAGGTACATGCAGAAATTACTGATCATTCTTGTTCATAGTGGTGCCTTGCAATCTGGTACTTTTCCCATTGTATTTGTGTCATTGAGTGTACTGTTGATTTGGTGAAGCAGTAATCAAATGTACACCCGTCTTTTTTATTAATTTCCCTTAGATCCGCCCAGCCAGCCAGAGAGGAGGCATGCTCTTCGCCATCACAGATGCCCGTCAAAAGGTGGTTGAGTTGGGCTTAGCCCTCACTCCAGTTCACGCAGGACAGCAGAGTATCTTATTATACTACACCGACAGCGAGCAGCCATCCCATAGCCAGAAAGCCGCTGCCTTCAGTGTCCCAGACATGACAGACCAGTGGACGCGCTTTACTGTAAGTCGCGCACCAAGATATTTGTGAAATTACTCTCAAGTACATCAAATCTGTAATCTACTTCAACTAATTACACTTTGAAACCACTGGAACAACTGCATGCAAACTTATGACAAATGCCTCAGACCTGTTGCCACGGCTATCCTTCATATCAACTAATACTTGCTTAAGCAAATGCTTTGATTATTTTTGAGTCTTCAATCAACCTACCATGCATGTTTTTGGAATGTGGGAGGAAACCGGAGTACCCGGAAAAAACACACTCAGGCACTCTGGAATTTATTCGGTTGAAAATAAAAAACCCGATTCATCCACTGTATTGCACGAGTGCATCATCTAATAAGTGGTGACAAAGTTTTAGTTTTCAAGTCCATTAATGCGATTTGTAAGTCAGGGTTGTGTCTTTTTGACTTGATAGGTTGTGGTGGAGCACAATGAGGTGCGTCTCCACATGGACTGTGGTGAAGCCGAGAGGACGACCTTCCGTCGAAGGCCAGAAAGACTCACTTTCTCACATAACTCTGGCATTTTCGTTGCAAATGCAGGAAGCACCGGTTTTCAGAATTTTGTGGTAAGTGGAAAACAGACACGTTTAATGGACTGTTGATACTCACAGAACTCGCATGAACTATGTGGGGTGTGCTACCAGTCATAGCATACCAAAATACGTCATGACCACCAAAGATCCTCAGGAATGCAAATGTCTATTGCGTAGATTTCTTGACATTTTTGAGAATCAAACATAGGGAGGAAGTATGCGGGGAGTGGAATGGCGTCTCATGTGGAAAGGGGGAGTGAAGAAGGGAGTAAGCTCATGATACCAGATGAGGAAGTCAAACATGCCATTTAGTCTTAAATCCCCTCAAAGGGATGGCGAGAACTTTACCATTCAGAATCGTGTCTCCCAACAAGCAGGGGAGACAGGCGACAACTATAACACGGGTCAATTGTAACACTTGCTCCAATCAGGAACAAGTGAGGAATCACCTGATTCATCTTGCACATGCTTAGTTTATGCACTCACGGAGAGTGAGTTGTAACGTTTAGGAAATTTGAAAATTTAACACTAGCTAATATTTATCTTGAATGCATCTGTACAAATTTGATTTCTAACAGAAAAACAATTGTATTGCAGCGTCCACGCAAAATGCAGTTTTTTGCACATTACCATACGCTTGAATGCTTGTCTCTCAGCATTTTTACTGGAGTCTTTCATGTCATGATGGCGCCGCATGCTCAGCTGTACTGAGCAACGCGTGAGTGGTAGAAGCTTAACCTTAAGAAAGCCAACACTTACACATTTTCAATTTTATCCTGGCACAGAACAAGACCATCATGTCTTTTTTAAAGCATGGTTATGATTCCTTGCACTTGCGTACAGTATTAGTTAGTCACTTTGTTAGTCAGCTCGCGACCAAGATACTTAGTTTGCTGGCTACCAAGCTAGTTAGTTAGCTAGTTAGTTTCTGCGTACTCTGTATTCGTGAAAAAGCATCAAGAAATAATTCTACATTATGTTGAAGTTTCCAACTACAGTTTTTCCAGTTCCAAGTTAACGAACTTGTTGAGACTGGCATAGTCGGTTAGGCTTTCAATGCACAGTGCTCACAAAATAAACACACGCCACAAATGCTTAACTGTTGACATGGAAAGAAGACTCTGTAATTGTCCATTCATTCCACTTTTGTGGCATGTAGCCTGACTCTGAATTGAGGATCAAAAGCATCCCGACATCGTTATCCAGTATGGAATGTGGGGCCATGTATGAGTGTGTGCGCGGCGCTATACATGTTGCATCTTTACCAAGAGCACAACTCTTTCGTGACAGTCAAGTTGTTGCTTCTTTAGAAGAGAGAAGTTGAATTGTACGAGAAACCTTTAGTCCGGAGTTCATTTTTCATCGTATACCTGAAGCATTTGAAATTTTTTCCAGGGATCCATTCAGCAGCTACTTATCAAAGATGATCCCAGGGCAGCCGAGGAACAGTGTGAGGATGACGATCCCGATGTGAGCAATACACACAGTGCGACACATCGATGTTTACAGTAATTTTGTCTGTGGCCAGAATCAACCTGACTCAATGAATAAAATGATCATTCACTCAACAAGAAGAGTACGAGCGCAGTATGTGTATTCGAAATGAGTAAGATCACTGCTACGTTACCGAATGTATCGCACAATGAATAATTCAATGCTTTTGTCCAATATCTCAAGTCCTAAATGACAATCTATTTGAATGGTTTTATGCAAATCATTTGATCATTCATCGCCCTATGTGAGTTTGTATAAGATGATAACAAACTGTTTTTTTCTTTACTCCTTTCTGAATATAAAACAAAGTTCAATCGGTAGATAGTACTGTAGTACAAGAACTGATCAAGTACCGTACTTGTAACCGTACCGCACTGTAATTCTTGTTTGTTGAATCATTTTTCCTTAAGTTTGTTTTCCTTTTACATGCCGCAATGGTTGAAGGCTTCTGGGTATGCTAGTGGCGATGATGGTTTGGAGGACCGAGAGACAGAAGAAGAAATCAGAAAAAAAGCAGGAGGGGCGAAACATGGAGCAGCACAGGTATTTGAAAGATTTTTATTCTTACTCTCTGTGTTACAGGTGGTTCTGGCAGGTCAGTCTCTCTTGATTTGGATGTGGGAAACAAAATCAAGGAGGAAACAAAAAACCAAACATACCCTTCCCCAAATGCATATATAAATGAGCTACCATGCATAATTCTTCTTCGTTCCTTCCATAGTTACTGAAGCACGGTTGCAGTCTGATGACATTGAACTTATTTACGCAAGCCTGAGTAAGGACTAGGTGGATGTTTCCGTCGATGCCTTCCAATAAGACTTTTTACTTTGCGCTGGGTTTATCTAAAACACCCAGACCCAAATAAATATGTGCCTGTTTGTCATCTTTCTTCCTCCCACATCTGGGAAGTCAGGCTAACCCTAAACATCCCATGGAGCACCCTGTCCTTGAAGTCTCAAGGGAAATTCTGGAAACATCCTTCAAAAGCTGAAGTTCTGTCATTTTGGGTGTTTTATCCTGAATGAATCACGCGTGTAGTTGCCATACATTGATTCGGTTTGTTCATAAACGTCAGTAAGGTTGAGCATGATGCGGTTTCATAGCATATGGCAAATTCACCGATCCCTTTCGTGTAGGAAAACACAGTTCCAATTCGAGCGCCACCCACAAAGCCTCCAACGCCGGAGCGTGCTGAGGATTCAAGCCGGCTGACCTCACTGGAAGCCAATGAAGAAGTCTCGCTAAGAGGTTCAGTGAGCGCATCTTACGTCTTGGTGGAGTTTGTTTTTTGTTGCAGCTCCTTACATGATTTCAATTTAGTGCTTCCTTTAAATAAAAATCGGATTTGTCCTGATTGTTAATGTAATAATTTTGACATGATTGTGGATACAATGTTAGAAATTGCCATTTTCAGGACCTCAGCAGACAGACGAGCCAGGTGAAGCATCTGAAGAGGTCAGTTCACAGTCATGAATATTGTTTCAATCTATGCTTGATTGTGTCTTTTTTTTGGACAGAAAAAAAATCATCTGTGAACTTTGAACATTTGGGTTATTGTCCAGCACACTTTAAAAGGAGAGCCAGGGGAGCCTGGCCTACCTGGCCCCCCTGGGCCGACTCTTCTTCCGAGGCAAACTGAGCCAGGGTCAAGAGGTCCACAAGGACCACCAGGAATCCCAGGAAAGCCGGGAAGAGACGGACAGCAGGTTTGGGCTTTGTGTAAATCGGACACAGATTTGTTCATGTACATTCCACTGACCTCTACCAAATATTTAACAGGGAATGAAGGGAGACAATGGAGATGCAGTAAGCTTCGTATTACTACTTTTTTTTTGTCATCAGTGACGTGCTTTATGTTATACTTTGCAATGAAACATTGGTTGTTGTTCTAGGGTCAGAGAGGACCTCAAGGATTTCCAGGTTTGGATGGAGATGCTGGAGTCAAAGGAGATAAGGTCTAGCTCATTGAAATCATAATAAGAATAAGTCTTAGTTCATGCACTTTGTTTACTCCAACACCACCCGGTCTCTTCTAAGACAGCTTAGTCCAAGGTTAAACAGGTTGGAAGGCCTGTATAAAAAAAAACAAAACGTGAGTCGTTTTTAAATATTTCCTTTACGTCTGCAAGCCTTAGCAGTAGTGGCAAAGCCTTGCGCACTTTGGGAGTAATTACTGCACCAAAACTTAGATGTACTTCCAGCAGGTATAAAGTGTAAATGAATATTTGCCACCAAATCGTCAGAAGTGCCAGGCGGTTGTCGAAGGGCCATTGTCTTTGTCAGTCATTGTGTTCTCTGAGGGGAGACTTACTGCTGCTCTTTTTTTTTTTCTCTTTTTTTTTTTTCTTCTCTTCATGACATCGGTACCTCCAGGGAGAGCCCGGAGTTGGTTTTCCAGGTCCACCGGGCCTACCCGGACCTCCTGGACCCCCTCGATCACGCAGTGTGCCTGTAAGTCATGTTAACATCCAGTAGTCATGCAATCAAATCCTGTTTTGTGATGAGTTAATAGCACGGCTGTTTGATGCTTGAGAAACTTGAAGTATGATGAATCCACATCCATTCTTTGTTGTGTTGTTCCGTAGTATGGAGAAGATGCGCTGGGTTCTGGGTTTGAGGACCTGGACAGCGATACTGAGCTCATTCGGGTAAAGGGAGATCTGTGATATCCACTCGACAAAGATGATCCACCAACACAATTGAGTGAGTGTCACTATGCTCGCCAGGGTCCTCCAGGGCCACCTGGACCTCCGGGACCACCCGGTCCCCCTGGGACCAACCCTTCATCATCAGCTGACATTGCCGAGGGCCTCTCTCATGCTGGGCCACATGGTGCCCCTGGTAAAAATGGACTTGTAGGCCACCCAGGAACACCAGTAAGTCACAAATGTAAATATATATATATATATCAACTTGAAAACTGAAGGGACGAGAGTAGAGGTGTGTGTGTGTGTGTGTGTGTGTGTGTGTGTGTGTGTGTGTGTGTGTGTGTGTGTGTGTGAGTGAGAGACCTTAACGTGTTTACGTTGTGTCCAGTCAAATTGCTCGTCTTTGTTCACCTCCCACCACCGATATGCCGCCTCCTCCATTTCGACGTTCCGCATCGAACATTTGCTGCTCCTCTCCACTCTGTTGCAGATGTTTAAGGATTGGTTTAGTGGTTCTGGTTCTGGGTCTGGTGCTTCAGGTTTGAGCACAGAGTTGCACTCTGACCTTGGCTCTGGTTTCAGTTCTGATTCTGAGTCCAGTTTTGCTTCCGGGTCTGGGCTTGACTTCGGCTCTGCTTGGGTATCGGGCGAGGTATATTGATATATATATTTCTGGGGGGGAAGGGGGGGTTGCATGGTGAAACAGCAAACCATAATGCAATGTTACAGTCACAAGCCAGTGCACTGAGTCAGCATTTATTTACTTATATTCTATGATGTCATATATATGCTAGTCTGAGACAGTAAAAGTGATATTTCTACACATTTGTGAATGAAGATTGTCCTGAGGAATAAAGAGGCCCCTACCTCAGTACTCTGGCTAATAACTGTACACTGTCCTCCAACGGTATCTTAACCTGCGGCTGACAGCTGGCTCTTTTTCGCCCGAAGTGGTCTTCTGCATCCACGCAGATGTGTGCAAACCAACATCGCTTCTCCACCCAGCGATGGTTCCGACTCGTTTGACATGATCTGCTCAGTGACATCACTGGAATGGAGCTTCACACAAACACGCATGCTGTCGCACTTTGAGACTCCATTTTGCTTCTCTCATTCCATGTTTGCGCTGTTTTTTTTTTATTTTTTGTTTTTTTTATTCCATGTTCTCAGTGAACACATTGTTCTAAGGCATACTGAAAAGGAAACAATATGACATTATTGATTCAGTATCTCAGTCTGCCTTGCAATTAAGTGTTTCTGAAACTTTCGAGGAATGCGAGCAATCCTTAAGGATGACTTGTCAGCTTTCCGTGAAGGATGAGAAGGAAAAAAATGATAGGCAGCTTCATGCTACGTTTCAACAATTGCAGTGATAAGAGATGTTAACTGGATTTTATTTTGTCGATGCTTTGATGCAGTGATTGAGCTGTACCGGTCAAAAATATAAATGCGACACTTGTGTTTGCTCCCTTTTTTTTTTTTTTTTAAATGAGCTGAATTCAAAGACTTTTTGTACAATTTGGGTAAGCTTCATCTCTTCACCAGGAAGTTGAGTATTCCTCTAAACAAGCTCTCGCATTTGGATTTGGCCCTGAATGGGAATGGCTGAGGGGGTCAACAAACGGCTTAACTACATCATCTCCCTGGAGCTCACAAGAATCAAACTCCTTGAGGCCCACTCTTTTGCATGTTTTAGTCGTTTGCCTCCTCTCACACGCATGATTCAACTGATCAGCTCATCAGCAAGCTCTGCAGGAGCCTGCTAACCATTGTTAGCAAGAGAGTGGCCCTCAAGGACTGGAGTTTGACACCTGTGCTCTTTCTTTTATTTCTTGATATTTGTCTTTTTTGATTGCAACGTTGCCCGTGACAGTCTGCGCTTGTTTGTTTAGGGTCGAGCAGGAAAAGATGGGACTCCAGGCCTCCCTGGAGCTGCGGGAGAGAAGGTCTGCTAATCACAACTTCCACATGGTGTTTGTGCGTCTATGCAATATCCCAAAGCAAATATTCTTAATACGACGGTGCTCCGATGAACCCCCCGCTGCCCAGCATGCATTTCTGCCTTATTTTGGATCCTTTCGTAAATACTCTCTTGTTGTCCTTTCCCATGAAATCTTTAGGGTGACAGAGGTTTGCCCGGATCACCTGGGCCAAAGGTAATTCTGCTCATTCTCTATATTCTGTATTTGAGTTCAAAAACGTCGGCAAGTCAAGGAAGTTTGCGTTTCTCTGCGTCTCCTCAGGGTGAATGTGGAACCGCAGGCAACGCGGGGTCAGCGGGACCTCAAGGGCCCAGCGGTCCACCGGGAAGAAGAGGCCTACCGGGTCCACCAGGACCCCCGGGACCCCCTAGTCCTGCAGGAACCAAATTCTTTGTTGAGGTGGTGACCTGCTTTTCTTTTGTATCCACTGGCTCCACTTCCGTTTCAAAATCGTATCTCTTTTAGGATATGGAGGGATCTGGCAAGAGTGACACGTTCCTCGGAGCAAGAGTCCCAGGCCCACAGGTCGGTTTCATTTCATGGGTCAGTAAAATTTTGTGCTGTGTTTTATTCGATCCGCTTTGTCCATTCTGTTGTTTAGGGTGCACCTGGTCTTCCTGGTTCACAAGGTCCAAAGGTTGTGCTATATTTTTGCAGTACTCTAGTTCTCCATCACTTGTTTGCTCGTATTGCGGCATCACATTTCTATTCTCTGTCTATTGAAGGGTGAGGATGGAGCTCCAGGTCCGCCAGGACCCTCTGTCAAGGTACAACTCCTACTTGTTACGACCACACACATCCCTCCATTATTTTATTGATTTGAATTTTTTTTTTTCCTGGTCTTCCTGGTTCACAAGGTCCAAAGGTTGTGCTATATTTTTGCAGTACTCTAGTTCTCCATCACGTTTGCTCATATTGCGGCATCACATTTTCATTCTCTGTCTTTTGAAGGGTGAGGATGGAGCTCCAGGTCCGCCAGGACCCTCTGTCAAGGTACAACTCCAACTTGTTACGACCACACACATCCCTCCATTATTTTATTCATTTGAATTTTTTTTTTTTTTTGCCAATTTAGTCAAGCATTCCTTAGATGCGCTGTTTGATTATAAGACATTCACCTTGGTGATATTAAACAGAGTCATTTGCCGTTATTAACTCCATTTCTTCCATCAATTTAATTGTAGGGTGAAAGAGGGGACCCAGGAATAGAGGGTTTGCATGGTCCCGCCGGACTACCAGGTCCGAGGGTACGTATATCGCGCTCTGTAGCATACAGTGCATCCACAAAGTATTCACAGCGCTTCACTTTGTCCGCTTTTTGTTAGGTAGCAGCATCATTCCAAAATAGATTTTTTCCCCCCTCAAATTTCTACACACAACACCTAGAATGCCAATGAGGAAAAGTATTTTTGTTTTTTTCCCAAATGTATTCAAAATAAAAAGAGCTAAGAAATCACGTGTTCATAAGAATGCACAGTCTTGCCATGAAGCTCAAGAGTGAGTCAGGCGCATCACCTTTTAGCTTTTTTGAAGTCCGTTGATTCCGTTGGAAGCCAAATGTGTTCCCTGGAAGGTCTTTGTGGACAATGGCTTGTGCTGTCATTTATTTCATTATTTTCCCAAATGTATTCAAAATAAAAAGAACTAAGAAATCACGTGTTCATAAGACTGTACAGTCTTGCCATAAAGCTCAAGAGTGAGTCAGGCGCATCACTTTTCAGCTTTCTTGAAGTCCACCGGTAGTAAATTCCGTTGATTCAGTTGGAAGCCAAATGTGCTCCCTGGAAGGTCTTTGCGGACAATGGCTTGTGCTGTCATTTATTTCATTATTTTTCTGCCCACACACACATTAGTCTCACTAATGTTATTTACTTGATGTGCGCAGGGGGTTAAAGGCGAAAAGGGTAGGCCGGGGCAAAAGGTAGGTTTCGTCGCTTCCGTGCTTTATTTCCCAACCACAGTTTTGTGTTCCCACATAGATACACGTAAATAAACAAATCTCTCTGCGTCCCGCAAGGGCAATCGTGGCGCGGATGGCCTCGACATCATCGGACCACCTGGCCTTCCCGGACCTCCCGGCCCTGTCATTAATCTGACAGATGTATGCACACATTTCTCCCTCCGTCTTCTTTTTATTCCCCCGCCCCAAAAAATGCTTACCTGTAAATTGAAATATGAATATAAGTGAAAGACAATCCGTCTTCTTTTAAATTCCCCCGCCCCAAAAAATGCTAACCTGTAAATTGAAATATGAATATAAGTGAAAGACACATGTCGTTTTTTTTTCCTGACTGTTTTCCCCAATCAACACATACACATACAACATTGTAT